GCCCCCCCCGTGTGTGCCATTGGTCCCCTGCCTCCTGCTCTCGCTCTTAGAAAACATCCTAGCGTTTGGTCAGAATCTGCCTTCCAGGGACTTACAGCCATTGTTCTTCTTCTGCACTTTGAAATGAGGGAGGACAGGGCTGGTTCTGCGTGATGCTCCTTTAGATATTTCAAGACTGCTCTCCTACCCCCACTTCCACCCCACCCCCAAGTAATCTTTTCTCAAGAGGCTTCCATCTTCCTAGGGCTTAGTTGCTCTTCCTCAGACCATCTTCTCTGATCTGGTTCTGGTGCCCCTGAATCCACTGGAGACTTTGCTTCTCCACTGTTCTTCTCACTACAGTGAGAAGACCGAGTGAACTTCCCAGTGGGTGCCACCCCTTAACTTGAGCGTCCACAGGAGTGGGGGGAGTCAAAGTCAAGATGGCATCCACAGCACCCGTAAAAAAGGGCAGGGTTTTGATTGCCAGGTCATGGTCATCATCTTGACCTTCTGGACACCCTCCCATGGACACCCCTTCCTGCAACTGTTCTACTTCTCCTTTGTAGTGCTCTTCTGTACATGAACGGCGATTTTGAAGGTGGCGAATTTATTTTCACTGAAATGGATGCCAAGACGGTGACGGTGAGCAGACATCTGAAATCATCTTCATAGAAGTATCATGGCTAGTTATACAATATACCTATATTAGATATGATATGATATGATATGATATGATATGATATGATATGATATGATATGATATGATATGATATGATATGATATGATGATATGATTATGTTCACACACATTTATCCGTTATTGGTCCCTGGGATGGTTGCCTTCCATGTTGGTGTAAAGGTGATGAGCTCAACCTGGTGCGTCAGTTGCCAGATGTTGATGGCCAGGTGTTTTGTGGAACTCCCCCCTATACACACACATACACACAGATGCTGATTTTGTGTGTTGAAATAAAACAGGTTCACCTGGAAAGCTGCTAACAGACAAGGGTGCAAGTGACAAGAATGCAGGAATGCAAAGCACGGTTATCACTAACCAATCCTCAAATGTTGTGTGAATGGAGCCTCTAGGTCTTTTCTTAGCCTGGAAAAGCATGTTTTGCAGAGAGGGGAGTTTAAGAGGTAGCAGCTGCTTTCCCACAACATGCTCGGATTAGTTTGTGTTAAGCTTCCTCTAATGGGGAAGAGGCTTAGTCTGTTGTCTGAACCCAGCTCCTTCAGTTTATCCTGGCTTCAGCGTATTGCGCCAACCCAGAAAATGGGTTAATTCAAGAAGCAGATTAAATCTCTGGTGTGAAGTCAGCCATTTGGTGGGGACGCCAGAGAGGGCCTTCCCAGACGTGCTCCCAGCCCAGAAAAGCCATCTTTTCTGGAATAGCCCTGCTCTTGTGTAGAGACTCTTCATGTGCAAACAGACCAGCTGTTGAAGATGGTTGAAATCCGGGTGAGGTTATTTTGTTTCCTCGTTCTATGCTTGAATTCTAATCTTTTGATTTACGTTTGATTTAAAATACATAAAGTTTATGTGTTTTGTTGTCAGCCACCTTAACCACATGGTTGTCTAGAGCAGTGTTTCTCAACCTTGGCCACTTTAAGAGGTGTGGACTTCAACTCCCAGAATTC